CTCCCAGAATTCCCCAGCCAGCCATGCTGGCTGGGGAATTCTGGGTGTTGAAGTCCACACATCTTCAAGTTGCCAAGGTTGAGAAACACTGGTCTAGAGCATGCTATTCTCTTTCAGCTATAGACCTTCCATGAGAAATTTGGATATAATGCAAGATACCCACCATAATATGTAGCAATAATCCATATTAGATGCTTTGATCTTGCTTTTTTAATGACTGCCAATTATATTATTTCTCTTTCAGCAATGGGCAGTACTTTTTGGATCTTGGCTGACTTCAAAAAGCTAAGCAAGGTCGGACCTGCTTAATGTTCGGGTGGAAGACCACTAAGAAATGCCAGGACTGTAGATCAGACTGGGGAGTTGAAAAATATCGTCAAGAAAGACAACAGGAAACTTCTTCCATTTTCATGCAAAAAAACTCTTCATGGACATGTTCTTCTAATAACCAGGAATCCAATCTGACCTGAAGGAAACTTGACTTTTAGCATTAGTACCGTTCAATTAATAGTACTCAATTAATGCTACTCATTAATACAAACTCAGCTATTCAGTGCTAACAGGATTGGAGACACAACTGAGAAATAAAATGGAAGAATCTGTTTGTTCAGGAGAATCCCAGCTTTTGAGGACTTCCGGGAAGGAAATGGCGAACTGAAGATAGCTCTGCTTTGATGACTGCTGTGGAATGAAGAGCTGGCGAATGGTTTTTCTTTACTATATTCTAATTTTTTCTTTCTTTTCTATGTTCCTTTCTATTGTTTTCTTTTCTGCACTTTCTATTTTTTCTTTTTCTTCTTTTCTTTTTTTTAGTTTGCATTCGTTTTTACCTTTTTAACTGTCATTTTTAATAAAATGGCTATAAAAACAGAGAGCATCCCAGCTTTTGCAGAAGTACAGCGATCTTGGAGGAAGGAATATAAGGAGGTATGAACCACGATAGGAAACCAAGAAGGATTAGTTGTCTGGTTGATTAGAAAGAGCCTATGGGGGGAGTGGGCAGGGGGTGGCCATGGAATAATGGAATGGTGTATCATAAAGGGGGGAAAGACTGGCGGAGAAGGGCTCCACCACCGTCCCCCACTCCACCCCCATGATTTGTTCATGGTCTCTTCCATCTCTTCCATAACATAACAGCAGTTGATGATCGATCTTTTACCACAGTCCTATTTCCAACTGAATGAGAGCATTGGCAGTTTCATCCACCAGAGGAAAATCCAATTCAAAAGGGGTTTGAAGCCACAGCTCTGCAGCTCAAATGCTGTCACAAAAGGCGTTGCAACCAGTTTTTTCACTGTGTCTCAGAGTGGCCAGAAGTCAAGATGTTCCTACCTGTAAATCGTGCTGTGCTTGCAGAAATTTCCAGGTACAAGCAACCCACAAGCAGTTTAATGGTAGAACAAAGCATGGAAGTCCATTGGGTTTTGGAGGGGAGGGGGGGCAAAAAGGATGCTCAAAGATTCATTTAGGGGATGTCTCCATTTTAAAGGTGAGGTGCCTGAAGTTTTTTCATTCTCACCAAAAATACAAAATTAATACTGCTCCGAGAGCCAGATTACATCAGAGTGAACAGTGCTTCCTAGGGCAGTCAATCGGATACCCTCTGAAGCAGGATATAAATAGGTCTTGCCTTCCTAGTAACTGGCGTTCAGAGGTAGACTATTCCTGGACATGGAGGTTGGTGTAGAGATTCCAGGCTGATTTAATAGGGGGATTTTCCTTGATGACATGAGCCTTTAAAACAGATCCCGTGTCAGCCTGCCATTGCTACTGGCTGGGTTCTCCCTGACATTTCTAGACTGATTTTCCACCGGCTTCTTATTTCCTAAGATTAACTTTGTTTCTGGAAACTGTGAAGAAAACTCTCCATGAAGGAAAAAAAAACTTTTTAGAACACCAGCTGGAAAAAATTCCCAAATTACAGACAGAATAAAAGGCGATATTTAATTTTCTAAAGTTTTC